CTTCTGCTTTGTTCTTCTTTACTAGTTAAAAAATGTTAGGCTTCTCAGAGGACCATGACTCCCAGTTACGGGATGAAATGTTTTCTTATTGAACAGACAGAATCAGACTGCAGAGCTTCTACAGATCTGGAAATTTAGTTTCTGGCATCATTATATTAGTAAAGAGATTCATAAATCTTTTTTAAACAGAGAGAAGCAGGGAGAGCTGCAGATTTAAAGGGGAAACAGATTTACCGGGATATACAACATGCTATAATATATATAGTTTACCAGAAAGTTTACAAGAAAAAAATATAATATGCTATATTTAAAATGCAGCATAACCATATTTTTCTGGATGAAATTGAAATTGTATTTCTAGGGATGAGTGATATATCGATTTTGGCATCAGAATCGGCTGTTATTCATTATTTTTGTTATACATTAATCTTTTTGGGCCCTATGTATATAATGCACTAAAAGGCATCTCTCTAATATCTATAAATATTAACATCAGTATATTATGGTTCTCTTGGTTCTCAACAATAGGAAAGCATTCAATAAATAGATGTTTGAGCTCATTTTTGTAAAACAGAAAAGCCTAATGAAAGCGTTGCGGTTTAATAACTGTAGGTCCATCAGCCCCCACCCCACTGCCCCCACCAACTGTCATTACAAAGTTACACCCTTGGTGTTCAAACATTCAGTCTCCTGTATTCTCTGCGTATTGCTAAGTATAGAAAAGGCCGTTTTTCCTGAACCAACATGTTTACACTGCGTGAAACGGTCTCAAATAATATAGCTCCTATATAATAACCACTGGGGTTCCTCAGAAACAGCTTCTACCTCCATCAAAGGTGATTATCCAAATGGCCTAAAAACCACTTCTGACGACTAAATGATTCTCTGAAATGATCCATAAATCAAAGATATCACAGCCAGCGATGAGCTCAATGCTGCATGAATGTTAATATGATCAATCGTAACATTAGACTCTGAAGGTTTTTCTAATATTCACTAAAGGGAAAATTCAGCTGAGGTTTTGTTACTGCCATCAAGTGGAATGAAGGTATACTGCAGTTTTTCCTCAGGTTCATACGGATCTTTACAATCCAAAGAGTCCAGCTAATAAAGTAATCTAGAACTACAATTAGGTGCAAACACACATATATATATATTTGACAGAAATGACTTTGACTTAGATTTATTTTGTCATGTTGAATACACAAGTGTAAACAAAAAGAAATTTCATTAAGAACAACTCTCTAGACATTTTCATTTTTTTTAAAGTGCGGCCTTTAAAACAGTAAAAAATAAATAAAAAACAGTAAAATAAAGATATGACTGTATATTTACAGTTCTAACCTTTCAGTTTTTATTTTTATATCCACTGCTCTTTGCTTACTTTTTTGAAAAATTGTTAAAAAAAAAAAAAAGTTTAAATATCTTCTAATGATGAATTCATGAAGTGAAAAAACTTTACTTCAGCCCAGCCGAAAAATATAAAACTCATTTAGAAAAATGTTTACCTTTTTTACAAAGAGAAAAGAAGGTAAATAAAACTTGTGAAAAGACGATAAATGTCATATTGACTGGAAAATGTATAATTTAGGAAAATTATGGTTGAAAAAAAAAAACTAAAAAAATTTTTTCCCACTTATAAAAGATCAAATAATATTTTTCTTTTATAATTAGAGTCAATTTGGGGGGAATTGGTTGCAATTGTTCAGTGTAGTAAAATGCTGAAAGATGCGTTTGTTAATAAAGCAATAGTTAAAAGAAATGATCTCTTCTTCCTCATCCATCAGCAGGGCCGGGGTTCTGTCAGACCAGCATACCCCATCAGACCAGCATACCCACAGTCAATACCTGTTTATCCTTTAGTTTTGTACGAAAACTAGACTTTAAACTATCTCAACGGGTGTCTATCCCTTTAATCACATACAAAAAACAAGTTAATTACCGTAATTTTCGGACTAAAAGCCGTGACTTTTTCCCCATTTTTCGACCTTGCGGCTTAAATAACAATGCAGCTAACTGTTAGCTTTTACAGCTAACAGCCACTAGGGTAATACGGTACCTAAATCTATGGATTTTACCGTCACCCATGTTGACTTCACATTTGCTTCAACACACAAGTAGCCATGTCCGCGGGAATGCGGCCGTTCTGCGAGCGCAAGACAGTTTGTGTGACACCCTCATTATGGAAAACAAACGTTGAAATGCATATGAAGCAACTTTTAAGTTAAAGGCAGTCAATTTGGCAGTAAACGGAGGAAATAAAACCGCTGCACGTAACCTTGGAATCAACGAGTCAATGGTGAGACGTTGGAGACGCCAGCAGGAAGAATTGTCTCAATTCAATTGTGTTGTAATGTTAATAAATAGCAGCTTCCCCAAACAGTTGCCTCTTTCCCGACAATCCTCTCTGTGCACGAACCATATGGTAATTCAACATAAAAAACCTGCGGCTTATAGTCCGGTGTGGCTTGTATATGGACAAATCATGCAATTTAGCTTCTGTGGCTTATATTCAGGTGCGGCTTATAGTCCGAAAATTACGGTATTTACTTTTTGGTGTTTTATTGAAGCGTATGAAGACCTGACCTTAAATTGTTTTTTGTTTTTTTTGTACATAACTAAAGGGATACACACCTGTTGAGGTAGTTTAAAGTTTATTTTTCATCCAAAACTAAAGGACCTCTTGCACATGCATACTGACTATAGTATGCTGGTCTGACAGAAAGGCTGCAGGGATACTGGCTTCTGCTGGGTGACTAACTATGAAACTATAACTGGTCTTTGTTAAGCTTTAGTTCACCTTCTTCCTGTGAAGTGAATCAAAACTGTTAAATAACTTTCATCTATAATATCCTATAGAATATAGTCAATTTTTAAAGCCAGTGCTTTATCCTGGCTTATACTGGTCAACTTACCTCATAATAAAGTCGGGTATCGTTTATTCTAATCATGACTCCGTCCACACGTAGGAAGAAACGCTGCAATAGGAAGAAACTGGATGGCATCACCCTCTGCAGCATCAAAAAAGGAAGAGTTTAGACATTTATCAAACTTTATTAATCATCGGGTATAAGAGAGGGAGAGGAGGGGGAGTACAGGACACTGGTGGACAACTTTGTGGAGTGGTCCGAACAGAACCAGCTGAGGCTGAATGTCAACAAGACCAGAGAGATGGTGATTGACTTCAGGAGAGAGAAGAGGTCTTCACAGCCACTACGGATTAGGGGGGAGGTGGTGGAGGACTATAGATATTTGGGAGTGTTAATTGACAATAGACTGGACTGGAGGTCTAACTCTGAGGCTGTGTACAAGAAGGGGATGAGCAGACTCTATTTCTTGAGGAAGCTGAGATCCTTCAATGTGTGCAGCAAGATGTTGGAGATCTTTTACCAGTCTGTTGTTGCCAGCACCATTTTCTTTGCTGCTGTGTGTTGGGGCAGCAGCATTAGAGCCAGCGACACCAACAGACTTGATAAAATCATCAGGAGGGCTGGTTCTGTACTTGGACTCAGGCTGGAGTCTTTTGAGACTGTGGTTGAGAGGAGAACGCTGAATAAACTCTTATCCATCATTGACAATGATCAGCACCCTCTCCACCACACAGTGGTCAGACAGCGGAGCACCTTTTCTCACAGGCTGCTCCAGCTCCGCTGTCGAAAGGACAGATACAGGAAATCTTTCCTACCATATGCCATCACATTGTACAATAAAAAATAAACTATTGTTTCAGCATACAGTAACCAGCACTGTACTATACTGCACTCCATGTTTTTAATACTATTTATACTATTTATAATCTGTTCACTGCACCTTAGGACTGTTCACTGCACCCTTATAATGTAAATACGTGTGGATGTCATGTTATTTTTACTTTTTCTTATCTCATTGTGTTGTGACTGTCACTATGTGTAAAGCTGCTGCTACACTGCAATTTCCCAGCTTGGGATAAATAAAGTACATCCATCCATCCATCCATCCATCCATCCATCTATCCATCTATCTATCCATCTATCTATAATTTAACAAAAACATCTAGCTTTCCAATCAGGCAAAACCTTTCTCACTGAAAAATAGGCCAAAGCCACATTGATCAACAACAACAACAAAAACTTTTGGGCCTTTCCCTAAACATTGGCTACAAAAAGGTAAAAAAATGGCACCATAACTATACTTTATGTTGCAAATTTTACAGTTCAAAGAAAATTCTCCCATTTATATGCTTCTTAGGGCTGAAACAATTCATTAGATTAATCAATTATTGAATTAGTCACCAACTAATTCAGTAATCGATTAATTATTAACTGGAATATAGAGACTCTTTAAACATGCCTTTAGCTGACAGAGCTACACATTTAGAGCAGGAATTATATCTAAATTGTAAAAAAAATATATAAATATTTTGCATTTAAGATTATGCTCTGCTCTATTCAGAACTCCTCAAGTGGAAAAGTTTTAGTTTCACCTGGTTCCATTTAAAAAAAAAATCTTCTTTGAGGAACTTTTGGCAAAACATTTATTAATTGATAAATCAAAAAAATAACTGACATATAAACTGATTTGCAAAATAATCTTTAGTTGCAGCTCTAAGCTCTAACCCTAACCAGGACAAAATGACGGCACCCTTAACTTATTCCAAAACAAAAAAGAAAATTAAATTCAATCCACTGGACTTTGTTTCCAAGTTTGAAGACGTTTCTCTTCCATCCAGGAAGATTTTTTAATTCAAAATGTCAGAAATATCGTTTAGTTCCAGGTTTTATCCAGCAGCCCAACAAAGCTTGTTTTAGTTTAGAAAACATGCAAATAGAAACGGATGAACGGGTCCACCCCTTTGGAATGGGGGTTGTTTGGCTTCTTTGTTAGCCTGCAATGCCCCATACCTGTCTAAGCTTTATTTAGACAGGTATGGGGGGAAAAGCTTTCTGGATGGGAAGCGAAATGTCTTTAAACTTGGAAACAAAGTCCAGTGGATTGTTTTTAAACATGTTTGGAATCACTATACTGCAATTAACGATTATTAGGTTACTAAATTAGTTGATGATTATTTCAATAGTTTATTATTCCTATTAAATCTTTCAGGCCTAATATACAGATCTACACACAGAGAGGTAAAAACACTATATTTTTAGCAGTGTGTTACTCTCTCACACACTTACAATTTTGACACTTATTGTTGAGACGCCGTGGTCATGAAGCTCATCTTCAAAGAGCAAAACCTCATCATAGAACATGATGTGTTCCCGTGCTTTCAGCTTCTCTATGTCGATGTGCTCCTCTGTGCTAGCAGCCTTCACAAAGACAGGAAAAGGAAACAGAATCAGGTACAAATACTCGAACTAAAGGTAAAGATCGCCGGAGAGAGGAGGCAGAGGAAAAGCAGAGGCATCACCTTCATCTGGACATCTTCTCCTAGCAGGGTTCCTCTGTAGTCTGTGGTAAACGTCCAGTCAAAAGGCCTCAGCACTTCTTTGGAGTGTTCAGAATCGGCTCTGAAATGACATTGGGTTGTTGCTTAGCAACCTTTTGTCGGTATCTCTACCCTTTACTTCTTGCTTCACTGTAGATGTTTGGTTAAAAAAAAAACTGCATCAACATTTTTAATCAATGCTAAGTCAAAAACCAGAACTCTGCCACTCTGCTTATTTTTGCCTTCAATATTCCCAACAATAATAGTGACCGAGGCCTTAAACACCAGAAAATGTAAAACAGAAGAAAAGTTGATGTAAAGCTGTTACTAAAAGCAGGTTGTTTGGATTTTTTTTATCAGCCTTTAGATCTCCTGATCAGTAAAGATGCTCTGATTAAAAATATTGTTGATGAATTATAAATTGTGAGCTTATTTGAAAATAAATAGAAAAGCTCTGTCTCTTTGTGTCCTTTGTGCCGGAGCTCTATTGCAGAAACAAAACATTTCTTTATCAGTTGAGGACCTGGTTTTCAGACAGTTCAGAGTAAGTTACGCATGCAGCCTTCAGCATCACTGTAATCCTTAGTCCAGTCCAAGAGTTCTTGCCAAGGCTTAAAGCCGGGCATACATCGTACTGAGGGTGTATGACGTCATCAGCGCGCCGGACTGGAGTTGTGACAGGCAGCCTGGGCCACAGGCGGCTACGCTCTACTCCTTCCATTCATTCGGCTATCTAATATGAATCGGTCAATTCTATTTCGACCTTCCAGGCATGTGAGTAAAACTAGCAGCAGTTCAGCGGACAGGATGAATGAACGGTAGGCGGTGCGCGGATGATGTCATACACGCTCTGCTTTGCTTTAAAAATATATATAAATATAAAAAATATAACTGTGGATGTCTGGGGGACAGTGATTGGCCTACATGTTCTGAATGCTGGCGTACCATAAATGATAAATTATGAACAGTTTAGTTTGTGCCTTCAAGTCGTTGCCCATCTGAAGACGTTACCTGGATATAACCTAACGGAATATCTTCAGAACGGTTTCAAATGACACAAAGCTCATATGGGTGAGTAGAACATGATGGAATAATGTAAAATCAAGGGGTCAATGTAAAAAAAAACGGTGTTCCCCTTTAAGGCGCTAATCTGGTTCAGTGGTTCTCCAGGGATCAACAAGGGATCATCTACAGATGTTTTTAGAACTGATTGGTGACCTTTAGTTTATATCATCAGATAGTTAGTTTTTGGAAGCAGGGTTGATATATATATGGGTTTTATATTTTATGTTCTTAAACAATCATACAACTTTTGTATCACAAATGAAGCACTCTTATTACCTAAGTTTCTGTGTCTTTGAGAGCATGATATCATTTGTTTTTGTACTCAAGAGCTCTCGGTGCCGTGCTCTGACCATGATGTAATTTGTGGCTGGTTTCAGCTATCCACGAGCCCTGGGTGGGTTCATATTTTGGTTTCTGTAATCATGGGCTCCAGGCGTGAGAGGGAGCGCTCATTTTCCTGATTGGGCGAAAGATTTTCCTTTGATGTTTGGCATAAATGATGGGTGTCGGTTTCGCACTGGCAGAGTCTGCTAGGGTTGCGTACGAACGCCTAGCTGCGCGGTTTGCTGCCCTGCCCGGATCGACCGGCTCTCCGATCCTTTGTGTCACGGTAAGGGGGACAATATAATATGCATTGGAACGATATAATTTGTATTCAGCACCGTGCCTTGACTGATGTGCTTGCTTTGCTGGGTTCTGTGGCGGAATAAAACGACACATTTTACTCTAGCAGACACAGTATGTGTATCTGTGTGTCATCTTTATTACCGACTCATCCCGACCCTGCCTATATTTTATAATACAGGGGTTATAAGTTGTTTTGCCGTTTTATGGGTGTGATTTATGAGCATAGACTTCCAGCCTTGGGTCTACTTTTCTACCACTCACTTTGTATACATGAAAGTTCCTCATTGTAAAAAATAAGAGGCAGTAAAAGGAAAACTGAATGAGACAAGATCTGCGTGATCAGAGAATGATGGAGGAAGAGATGTCCGCCTGTTTAATCTTCTTTTATTAGCTTGTTTTTACTTGTAGCTCCACATGTTGTTGTGATTAGCCTTTTTACTATTTAACTTTTTTTTTTTACTATTTAAAGAGAGGCACATTCCTGGATTTTACAATTGATTTTTGTTGTTTAAGTACTAATAAATATGTAAAAAAATAGATAAAAGCATCACTGTGCCTGTTTCCTAATTTACTTTTGATGATATGTATTTGTTTTTATCTACGAGCTGGAAATGTCCCCAGATTGGATTTCATAAATCTGGTCACCGTAATTTCTCATCTTGACTGAATATATTTTATGATATCTGAAATAAATTTCTTCATAATCAAAATAATACAAATGATGAGCAGTTAAAATAGAAATATGGAATCTGAAATCCATTTCTAGACATCCAGGAGTAATTATTCTAGATGTGAAGAATGCCACCTTGTTTGAAATGGTTATTTTGACGAGGACACTGAGTTTACTGAACAAAACCTGCTCACGACCAGGTCAGCTCTGGGGAGAATGTTACTATGGCAACAGAGACAGATGTTGAGGAGACTGTCTTGGTGAAACGGACCCCAGGACACCTGTAGCTAACGGAAACAGGTGGAGAGAACTTTGTATTTTTCTCCGGAGGTAAAAGTGAGAAGGAGAATTGGTGGAATGAGCGACCCTAAATGACCCGTTATCATACCTGCTCTCCTGCCATTCTTGAGCACAGGCTACCTTCACAGTGTCTTCCATATTGTTGACTCGCTTAAGAGCATCAATGGCATTGAATTCAATGCCGTAGCCGTCCATATGCTGGATCCGCAGGACGTTATCGCCAAACATCATCTCAGGAAGTGAAGGCATGTTGAGTTCATCTGATAACCTGGAAAAGGCCAAGAATGAAAAGAGGTCAAGTTTCTCACCCCTCATTAAAAACTGTTTGCTTTGTAAGGTGAGGTTGTCAAATAATAAAAAGAGTAATTTGGAAAGGCATTTTCAGGGAAGGCGAGATAAATATGATAAATATGCAGCCGACCACCAAGCTGGGAGAGAAAAAGTGTGATGGCAAAACTTTTGGATAAATTAGAGGAGAGCAAAGATAGAAATAAGAAGTGGATTTCATCTCCAAACTCCACTACTGCTGCTAGTTTAGCTGCAAGCATAGAAAACACAGAACGAACAGGTAGCGCTCTAAAGCACAGATGGGAACTTTCGTCCATTTATTCCCCAAATACCCAAAATAAAAATAACATCTGATTTCTTTATCACGTTTCTATAATTTCATGCATCCAACAGAAACCTAATACATGCAAACCGCGCTGTGAAGCGGCGAGCGGTGAATTCCACGCGGTGAGAGCGTTCACTGCTCCTCCCTCACCTCATGCTACTGCTGCGTTTAAACTTAAAGCACCAAATATCGAAAAGCCTTTTTTTTTTTTTTTTTTTTGCCATATGAGGCTTATAGAAGACTTAAATAAGACTCCTGGTCTACGCCCTGACCTTCTTCCAAGTTGCTCTCCATTGTTTACTTTCCTGACTTCTGTCACACTGACATCATCACCAGACACACAGCGGCGGGGGGACAGAGACCATGCAGCTGCCAGCGAGGGGTTAGACCAGCTTTATTTGCCAATGGGAGGGGAGCCAAATGCCGACTGTTAGCGGGTCGACACACATTTGAAAAACAACCTGTTATTTTCAGTGGGAAAGAGGCTTGATGCTGCGATCAGAGCGCACGCAGCAGAGGCAGCAATAACGTACGTTCTGCCTCATTTTTAATGCTTGTACAAGTTTAGTTCTGACCCACGGCTGAAGTGTCTTTGCTGCTGTAGTTGCGTGGTTGAAAAGTGGTTCTGATGCGCGTTGGGCGGAGCTACCCTATCCTGTCTTTGCCTGGAACAATGGCGGCTATATTTGCTGTGATCAGTGGGTAAAAAGTGTTTTTAATATGTTTTTAAGTGAGAAAGTCCACCTGAAATCTTCGTCCTTGCAGTCAGTTCATCCTGATTACCATCCTGCCTTCAAATATTATTTCTCTTTTGCTGTGCCTTAAAGCACATCAACCATTGACTTTGCATGTAAACTAGCTGCTGCTGCCTCTGCTGCTTACGGTTTGAACGTAGCATAAGATTATTATTCACGCTGGCGGTAATGACACTTAAAATTAGTGTTGCTTCGGTGTGCAAGTTTGCCAAAACAATGTCGGACTCCGTAATTTTCTCTGGTCCCCTCCCTGATCTGACCAGTGATGACATGTTTAGCTGCATGTCGTCATTTCACCGCTGGTTGTCTAGGTGGTGTCCTGAAAACAACGTGGGCTACATTAATAATTGGCAATCCTTTTGGGGAAAGCCTGGTCTGATTCAGAGAGACGGCATCCATCCCACTTTGGATGGTGCAGCTCTTCTTTCTAGGAATCTGGCCACATTTATTAGTCCTCCGAAACCCTGACCCCCCAGGGTGCAGACCAGGAAGCAGAGTTGTAGTTTAACACACATCTCTGCAGCTTCTCTACTGTTACCCACTCTTTACTCCATCCAGACAGTGTCTTGCCAACGACCAAAATCTAATAAATTAGCAAAGATTCCCAAAGGAGTAAATCATGATCATCTAATTAACATGAAAATAACTCCAATAGGAGATTCTTCCAAAAGTCTGCTAGTTAATGATTTGATCTGTGATAATCACATTGATTTATGTTGCCTTAAAAGACTTGAATATGGGTGTGCAGGTGGTGCAGTTGTTAGTGCGCACCACCCATGTAAGGAGGCCTTTGTCCTCGAAGCGGCCGTCCCCGGTTGGACTCTGCCTGTGGTCCTTTGCCGCATGTCTCTCCCCTCCCTCATTTCCTCTTTCCTGTCAACCTGCTGTCAGAAAACGAGCTACTAGTGCCGTGTAAAAAAAAAAAAAAGACTTAAATATTTTGTAGGAATTAAGGGAAGAGGACTCGGCTTCAGTTTGTTTGTGTTAATGAAACTAATCCCATAATGCTTTGTGAGGAGAGGTCTTGCAAAGCATTCTGGGATATATCTGCTCATCTAGATAATCTTGGATTATATCGGCCTGCATCTAATATCGCTGATATTGTCACAAGGATAGAAACTCTGCTTCTGTTTACATTTCTAGAACCCATAGGTTAGTATTATATCGGTGAGTTGTTATTGTTCCGTGTTTTAATAATATCACTTGATCAGGCTTTTTCCAACATTTGACTTTACAAAATAAGTAATAAAAGCAAAATGCTTTGGGTACAAATATCTTACCGGGTCAATATGTCAAAGCGTTAACATGCGAATCGCATCAGAAATTAAAACGTTTTATTGGGACAGCCCTAGTATGTGGTTCTATCTTCAATGGATCCATAATTAATCCCAATATCTTTAAATACCACATTAAATATGAAAGTAAAGACCTAAAAAAAAACTTTAGATTTTAGGGAAACATACTGACCGTTCAACGTCTTTAGACTTCATGATGTGGTTTTTGGCTGCGGTCACCTTCCATGATCCAAACGTGAAATCCTGCTTGCTGCTCCTGAAGCCGTGCAACATCATTGCTTAAAGGGACACCAACTGCAACACAGATAACCAGCAAAGGTTTGACTTTTTCTTTATGGTTTAGCAATTTTAAAACACAAAGACAGAATTAAGTCTTACAATTTTCCTGTAATAAGAAGACACTAAGATATAAAAACCACACCCTTTGTTCTTTACTATGCTAGACTAAAGTAAATTGTTAAATCAGTGGGTGATTTTTCTGGATGTACGAGTTAAAAAAAAGCCATTTTAATTTTTAAATAACTGAGAATGAGCGTGGCATTGGTGCAAGACATGAATCCCTACCTGGTGACCTTTGCTGTATGAGATTCTGTTAAAGCTACCATGTTTCACTTATACACACAAATACATATATATATATATATATATATATATATATGTGTGTATATATATATATATATATATATATATATATA